TTGGGTTTTCTTCCCCCAAACCCCCCCCAAACACAACCCCCCAAATTTCCCACCCCAAAAAAACCCCCAAAACCCAAACCCCCCAAACCCACCCCCTCCATTTTTTAAAATACGGGTTTACTCACACCCATTTTGATCCTCAGACTCATACCCCCTTTTTGGGCATGATCTCTCATTTTTGCTCTTCCTCCGCCCATTAACTTAAATTTGGGGTTTCTTTTCTCCCGATTTAAACATACAGTGATCATTTCCCAATAAATTTTTAACTTCCCCTTCATTTTCCCGCCACCCTCTTCGCACCCCAGGGCTGGAAATTTTAAATCGGGCAAATTGGAACCTTTACTCAAAACCTAACTGTTTTTAAAGGGGTTCCTTCTTCGTCCTCAATCGATGACTTTTACACCTCTTTTTCCGCCCTTTCCTTTTTCCCACCCCGGCAGCTTCCATTCTAAAACCCCAAACTTGGGGCCGGGCTTTCCCTCAAAAATGCGTGCCTTGGTGGTCTCCTGCTTGGCCGTGCATTTATTTTTTGAAACGCCTGAAAAGGGGCAGGTACCGTACAATAGAACCCAGAGCGACTCCTTGATTTTAAAACCCAAAAAGCGTGCGATTGCTCCCCTGTGATCCGTGACGCTAAACGCATTTGCTGGCGAGTTTATGTCTCCACCATCACCTCTGCTTCCCCTATGATCCCGCCCCTGGAAAAAAAAAGAAAACTGAGGGGGTTAATTTTTCCTCCTGACCCGCTCCGTTCGGGCGGGGTTTCCCGGTGTTGAAACAAACCCACTAGATGTTCCCAAATGAAATTGGCAATCACCCTGGCCCAAAAATTCTCAGGGATTTCCATCTATCCCCTTTCATTTTTTTCCTAAAAGGGTCTCCCCAGAGAGTTAGCCCCCTTTGGGAAACTTTTCTTCTCTCGGGGAGAAAAAACGTTAAATTCCCTTTTTTCCCCTTTAAAGAACGGGAGGCAACACTCCAGTTTTTGGGGGATCACCCCGGCAGCTGGGCCCGACACATTCATATTCGAAATCCCAACAACTTTACATCGTCACCCCTTTGGGCAGTCCTTTTAAACGCCTTTAAAATCTTATTTGGCACAAAGTTTTTTCCACACAGCTGGGGAAAAATCCGCCTTTTTGTTTCCCCCTTTTCCGAAAAACCAGGCACTAGGGGACATGAAACCCCCCCACTCCCCGTCCCATTGCTTTTTAACCGTGCAGTTTGCAAAGTAATGGAACGCCTAGAAAATTTGACTTTAGTTTGGTTTTTTAAAAACACACAAAAAGTCTCTCCATTTGTCAATAGGGGTTTCGTAAGGGAGTTCAAAACCCATAGCCCCCCTTACAAAAACGCTTGGATACTATGTTTTATGCCTTTGCGAATAACCCTCAGTTATTGCCAAATTTTTTGCCTTGAGAAGGCATATAAACACAATTTGGAGGTAAAAATATTTTGGGGCCCAAGCCCCCCTCCTTGGGCCCTTTCGAGGCAATCTCCCACCCTTTCCTTTAAGAACTTTTTAACTGACAGGCATTTCCGTGTTCGGGTTAAAAATGTGCTCTCCCCCGGAAATTTTTATCCAAGCTGAAGGTGTCCCCCAGGGATGTTTTCTGACACAACACTTTTTTTTCCTTTCTATTAATGATTTTTGGCCTCTATCTTTTTCCCTCAAAAATTTTGGCTTATCACTCTATGTTGATGACTTTTCTAAATTTTTTGTGCAGGCGCTGACTGTCACCTCCTTAAAAGTTTCTCCCCCAAAAAAGCAGCGACCCCTGTTTTTCCAAATTTGGGGCCCCACACGTGGGGGGTTTAAAATTTTTCCCGCACTAAAACCCACCAAAACAAATTTCACTAAAACTCTCTGTTCCCTCTCCGATCATCCTTTGTACCTCTATGCCCCCCCCGTATCCCTGAAAAATGATACAGTCAAGTTTCTGGGCCTTTCCCCTTTTTATCGTAGGTTATCCTGGAAACCCCCACATTACCTCTCTGAAGGCCCCAAATTGTCACAGCCGGCTGAACCTTTTTAAAACCCTTGCCATCTTTTTGGGGAGCGATCGTCGAACCCTCCTTTTGCCTTTCATTCCACCCTTTTTTTTTTCGAAACTTTAAAAATGGGGACCAAATCTATTCATGGGGATCTCCTGCTACTCTCTCTAGCCTAAAACCCCCTTCATTTACCAAAGGGTTTTCGTTTAGCCCCCGGTGCTTTCCCCCTCTTTTCCCCCGTCGAGAGCCCCATGCAGAAGCAAATTCCATTTCCCTTTTTAAACCATCGCCGGGGATGCCCATTGGGCCTTTCGCTACTATGTACGGGGTCTCATGATCTCCGCAATCCTTTTTATTTATAAAAATGGGCCCCCATATTTGTAGAACCCCTTTTTATTTGTTCCCCCCGCCCGGGTTTTCCCCCCCGTCCCTTCTCTCTTCCCCCTTCATTTTTCCCCTTGTCTTCTCTTTTAACCAAACCAAACCCTTTCCCATGTACATGTACATCTCACTTTTCCCTAAAACCCCCCGGGGAAATTCCAGCTGTTTTTGAGTCCCGTTTTTTTCTCCCTCCCTTGTTTGAAAAAACCCAAATGTCTAAAGGGCGCTTCCCCCCTCTCTTTTTTCCCTTTACCACTTTCACTCTCATTCTCATGCCATTGCGTGTACAAGGGGGCTTAAGTCTTCTGACGGGGGTTTGGAAATTTTTCACAGGGTTTTCCCGGAAAAAGGCGTCGTAAAAAGGGGATTTACTACTTCGGCTAGTATTTTTCCCGCTGAATTAATGCCATCCTTTCAGCACCCTTTTCCGTTTTCATCTATGGGCCCGTGTCCAAAACATTTGGGTTGTCCCCAGACCCCCCCAGTGCTTTTTCAGGCTATACAAAAAAAATTTTAAAACACCTCACCCCTTAATCCTCCGTATTTCCCAAAATTTGGGTTTAAAACCCCATCTTTACCAAGCATAAGATTTTTGTTTTTTTTTTGGGGCCCCCCGGGCATGTTTAAAGTAAAAAGGGCAATGAAACCGGCAGACACTTTTCGCGCGGTCAGCAGTACATGACCGCCAGTTTTCCCTGTAAGGTATTCCATTTAAAGGACTATTTTGCTGCAATTTTCTTCCCACCTTCACCCCTTTCAAAAACTTTTGGGCTACATGCTCGGCAACAAACTTTTTAGTCTATTAAAAACCCATATAGGTTTCAGGCCGTCTTCTTATCACCAGGTCGAGGTTTGGGGGACTAAATCTCTCCCATCTTCGCATTTTGGGCCCCTACTTTTGTCTTACTCATGGGTATCTCTGGAGAGGCGTCTTTCCCTCTCTGGGGGGAGAATTGCCAAAGCTCCATTATCATCCCGGCCCCCATTCTGTTGGACGGGCCCCCTTTATCAACGACACGCGAATTTTTCCCCTCCCCTGGTCCCCCGTTTTTTGCTCCGCTGCCCCTCCTTTTCCTTCCCCCTTTTTCGCGATGGACCCACCTTTCCCTCCCCGGGCTCTCCATTTTACCCTTTTTTACCCAAAGACTGACTGACTTAAAAAATTCTGATACCTTCAAACCCCCTTTTTACTTTTAAAACTCTTGCTACCTTCTTAAACCCCCCCCACTATCCCCCCGCCCCCGTGTTTTCTGTTTCCGCTGTCATCCCCCCCCCCTTCTACCATCCCCAAATTCCCCTTTCTTCCCTTTCCCCAAACCCCGCGGGGCTGTATAGGGCCCCTTTTGGCTTACGCTTCTTTTTTATTTTTTAAAAATTAAAGCAGCAGGCCTACGGGCCCCTGGGGAGGGAGGTTTTAATTCCTCCCCCTGGGTTGACGAATACCTTAAGGTGGGGCAGGTCAGGGCACATTCAAAAAGGAAGGACATGGGAAAATGACCCCAGTACACAAGTTAGTCTTGCATTTTAAAGGGTTTATAAAAAGCATTTTATAGTGGATAAGGAGCAATTTGGCAGGTATTTCAAGTGTAAAAGAAAAAAGGTTTGTTAATTTAAAGCATTAAAAAACTTTTTTGGGGGCCCCATGTTAGGGGGTAGGAGAGAGGGGGGATTATTTTCCAGTAAAACTACCTTGGACAAAAGGGTTTTGGGGGTGTCCCCAATGGTTTTTTAAAATCTTTTTAAAAACCCCATGTACATAAATTTAAGGGGTTTTGGGGGAAGGGGCAAGATTAAAAAATACATTTTTTATGAAAAGTAAAACCCTTTTGTTAACTGACAGCCAAAAGCATAACTAAATATTTATATTCACGAGTAATAATAATCTTTTTTGAGGGGTCCAATTAAAAACTTATCAATGACTAAACAGGTTTGATCCAAGGGGAAAAGGGGGGTCCCTTCCCAAACCCCTTGGGGCAGTGTATCTTTAATTTCTTGGGTCAAGAGCCCTTAAAAAAATCATGGCCTCCCCTTCCCTCCTCTTTGCAAAAAATTTATTAAAGTTAAGGGTCAACAAGGGGTTTTTTTAATGGCCTTTTTTCCCCCGCACACCTTTCACTTTTAAAAGGGGGGGTTTAGGTATTTGCTTTTTTTGTGACATGTTTAAAATGTTGTATCTGGGCACCTGTAACAGTAATAGTGTGGGAAAGATGGTGAAAGTTTTTTTTGGGGTTTCCCCATCCAGTGGGGGAGGGCCCTTGATTAAAAAAAAAATTTTTTTGAAATTTTATATACTGTACCTTATATTCTTAAAATTAAATTTCTGAGGAGTAAACATTGCTCAAAGGGATCAGGGTTTTAAAATTAAAAAGCAGATTTGGGATTTCAGTACTTCAGGTTTTGTTTTTTCTCAAATTAATCCCTTTTTTTTTAATCATGTTTTTTTGAAATCCAGAAAATATTTTTTTATAAAACTATGGAAATAAAGGACAGAGGAAGACAACCTTTAAAAAAAATTTTTCAAGAATAGCAAAGGTATATGAAGTTTAAACCCGATTATTTTCTATGTATTTATTTCTTGTCATTTTGTCCCTTTCATAAAAAAAAGTATTAATTTTTTTTTTCAGTGGCTGGTAGGATTACTGCATTTCCCCTTTTCCCCGGTTTTTCGCCCCCCTGTAAGAGCTGCGTACCTGCCTATCCCTAGTTTTTTTGGCCCATTCATTTTTTTTGGAGCTGGGCATCCCCGGGCCTTTTTTTGGTCTTTCTGAAAAAGCCATTTTTTTCATGTAAGTATAATGCCCTATTTTAAACCTGTAAAAAGGTCCAAACTATATGTATTTTTTTTTCCGCTAGTCCCCCAAACTTATGTACGTTTTTATTTTTTCCCGCCTTCAAATTTTTGGGACGATTGGCCTGAAAGCCTTTTCAGCATAGAATGGGGTTTCCCAACACTCCCGGGGGTGTGCGGTATTAAAAAAAAACGGACCACTTAGTACCTTGTGGGGGGCACCAGTTCAAATATGCCAGGGAAAAGCAAACCCGTTTCCCGCAAACACCTGGGATTCACTGAGTCCCGTGTATTTAAAACTTTCATTTTTAAAAGGGGAAAATTAAATTTTAAAACCCCGATTTAGTGCTTCGAGTGGGATGGGGGCCACAAGTGGTCGAAGGAAAAACAAAAACCTCGATAATAACCCATGTGCAAATTTTTTACAACAAAACCCTTTCAAATGTCCCTTTTAACCTATGCCAAAATCAAGAGAAAAAATTCTGGCTGGCCCGGCTGCCCGCTGATTGGCTGGCTGGCCACTGTGTGGCTGACCGGCGGGTTGGCTTTTATTTCCGGTTTTTTCTGTATCGTCTAACCCCTGTCTCTCCCCTCCCTCTCTCCCCTCTCTTTGTCTGTGTAAACCCGTGCTTACAGGGACACACAAAAACAAGTATACATTGTAAAATTTTTTTCCTAGGATAAAACCCCAAAAAATCCAGACAGAGTGTATACTTTCCAAATTTTAAGAAAGGGAGTAAAGGTGATGATGCAGTCCTTGTGGCTCCTGAGACAGAGCTAGGGCAGAAAAAAAGGACTTTACAACCCGACAAATACAGACAGAAATGTTGTGTACCACAAAAACAAAGCTAGGGGGAAAGGTCATCTAATCTTTTCCCATCGCTGCCCCCTTCCCCCCCCCCCCCGGGTTTTAAACTCATCAAAAAATCACTCCCTTTTCAATGTTTTTTCTCCACTTATCATGTTCCCCCTGCCAAAGGGGGGACTTTTTTTTTCCCGCTTCAAAGAACTTTTTATTTTATTATTATTACTTCTCCTCCTCCTTATTCTTCTCCTTCTCTTCCCCCTCTTCCTCTTCATATACTTCCACATATCCAAAACATTGCTGGGACATATAAATACTTTGTATATATTCCAAGACAATAGTAAATGACTAAGGCAGGTGTAAATGTCCACCTGTCAATGTGTTTGTGACAAAGTGGCCCCCTCTGTAATTAGTATTTTTATTACATGTAAACCACACAATAACCAAAATCTGTAAACCCCGCATTGTAATCCTTATAGAGAATAAACTTTGATTTGATTAATGTGAGTACAATTTCAGTGTCGAATACTAGTGTCAGAAAAAGATTTATGAAACTGTAATTATCAGAACATGAAAATTATATAAAAATAAGCGGCAGCGCTCCATGTTGCCGTCAGGTGATCCCCAAGTGCCAACTTTGCGGCCTCATATCTCGGTAAATGCTGACTAATTTTTTTTTATCCTATAACACTTAGAAAAATGTGCTATTTTTTTTCAATAATTTTTTTTTTTTTTTTTTTCAAAATATTTGGGGCACTGGGGTACTGAACGTATATATGCGTTTGTACCTTTTACGGAAGAAGAAGAAAATTGTCAAAGTGGGAAGTCTGAATGTGCGTGGATGTTGTGCAAATGATAAGAAAGAGATGATTGTGGATGTTATAAATGAGAAGCTGGATGTCCTGGCTTTAAGTGAAACGAAGCTGAAGGGGGTGGGAGAGTTTCAATGGAGAGGAATAAATGGGATTAGGTCAGGGGTTTCAAATAGAGTTAGAGCTAAAGAAGGAGTAGCAATAATGTTGAAGGATAAGCTATGGTAGGAAAAGAGGGACTATAAATGTATTAATTCAAGGATTATGTGGAGTAAAATAAAGATTGGATGTGAAAAGTGGTTATAGTAAGCGTGTATGCACCTGGAGAAGAAAGAAGCGTAGAGGAGAGAGAGAGATTTTGGGAAATGTTGAGTGAATGCGTGGGGGAGCTTTGAATCAAGTGTGAGAGTAATGGTGGTTGGGGATTTCAATGCTAAAGTGGGTAAAAATGTTATGGAGGGAGTAGTAGGTAAATTTGGGATGCCAGGGGTAAATGTAAATGGGGAGCCTTTAATTGAGCTATGTGTAGAAAGAGATTTGGTAATAAATAATACATATTTTATGAAAAAGAGGATAAATATACAAGGTATGATGTAGCACGTAATGAAAGTAGTTTGTTAGATTATGTATTGGTGGATAAAGGTTGATGGGTAGGCTCAGGATGTACATGTTTATAGAGGGGCAGCTGATATATCGGATCATTATTTAGTTGTAGCTACAGTTAGAGTAAGAGGTAGATGGGAAAAGAGGAAGGTGGCAACAACAAGTAAGAGGGAGGTGAAAGTGTATAAACTAAGGGAGGAGGAAGTTCGGGGGAGATATAAGCAACCGTTGGTAGAAGGTGGGCTAGTGCAAAGATGAGAAGTGGGGGGGTTGAAGAGGGTTGGAATAGTTTTAAAAATGCAGTATTAGAATGTGGGCAGAAGTTTGTGGTTATAGGAGGGTGGGGGCAGGTGGAAAGAGGAGTGATTGGTGGAATGATGAAGTAAAGGGTGTGATAAAAGAGAAAAAGGTAGCTTATGAGAGGTTTTTACAAAGCAGAAGTGTTAAAAGGAAAGCAGAGTATATGGAGAGTAAAAGAAAGGTGAAGAGAGTGGTGAGAGAGTGCAAAAGGAGAGCAGATGATAGAGTGGGAGAGGCACTGTCAAGAAATTTTTAATGAAAATAAGAAAAAATTTTGGAGTGAGTTAAACAAGTTAAGAAAGCCTAGGAAAGTATGGATTTGTCAGTTAAAAACAGAGTAGGGGAGTTAGTAGATTGGGGGGATAAGGGGGGAGGTATTAGGTAGATGGCGATAATATTAATGAGGAACTTTTAAATGTTTAGGAAGAAAGGGAGGGCAGTAATTTCATGCACTGGTTAGGGAGGTAAAAAACATCTTTTTAGGATTAAAGAAGAGCAGAATGTAAGTGTGGGGGGGTATGCAAGGCATTACGTAGAAATGAAAGGGGGTAAAGCAAGCTGGAACAGATGGGAATCATGACAGAAATGTTTTAAAACAGGGGGGGGGGGGGATATAGTGTTGGAGTGGTTGGTACTTTTGTTATAATAAATGTATGAAAGAGGGGAAGGTTACCTAGGGATTGGTGGAGCATGTATAGTCCCTTTATATAAAGGGAAAGGGGACAAAAGAGAATTTAGAGGAATAAGTTATTGAGTATAAACCAGTGAATAGTGTACGGTAGGGTTATTATTGAAAGAATTAGAGGTAAACAAATGTAGGATTGCAGATGAGCAAGGAGGTTTCAGAGTGGGTAATGGATGTGTAGATAAGTGTTTTACCTTGAAAGCAAATATGTAACTTAAATTAGATAAAGGTATGGAATTTTTATTGCATATATGGATTTAGAAAATGCATATGACAGAGTGGATAGGGAAGCATTGTGGCAGATGTGTGCAAGTATATGGAAGTAGGTGGTAAGTTACTAAATTGCAGTAAAGAGTTTTATGAGGATGTGAGGCTCAGGTTTAGGTTGTGTAGAAGAGATGAGGAGACTAACTTCCACGGTAAAAGTAGGTCTTAGACAGGGATGTGTAATGTCAACCATGGTTGTTTAATATATTTAAAGATGGGGTTGTAAAAGAAGTAAATTCTAGGGTTGTTCGAGGGGAGAGGGTGGGATTAAATTATGGGGAAATCAAATTCAAAAATGGAATTACACAGTTACTTTTTGCTGATGATACTGTGGCTTTATGGGAGATTTCTAAAGAAAAATTGCAAGGTTATGTGGAATGAGTTTGGGAATTGTGTAAAGGCAGAAAGGTTGAAAACAGTGAACATGAAAAGAGTAAGGTATGAGGTATCAAATGATTTTAGAAAGAAAAATTGGTTATCAAATTGGGGAGGATGATATGGAAAAGTTGAATGTTTTCAGATACTTGGGAGTTGACGTGCCGGCGGATGGATTTATGAAAGGATGAGGTTATCATAAATTGATTGAGGGGAAAAAAGGTGAGGTGTGCATGTGGAGTCAAAAAAACGTTTTATCTATGGAGGCAAAGAAGGGAATGTATGAAAGTATAGTAGTATCAACACTCTTTATATGAGTGGAAGCTTAGGGGGTAAATGCAGCGCAGGCTAGGTAACGGTTGGAGGCAGTGGAGATGTCCTGTCTAAAGGCAATGTGTGGTGTAAATATTATGCAGAAATTCGGAAGTGTGGAAATTAGAAAAGGGTGTGATATAATAAAAGTATTAGTCAGAGGGCAAAAGGGGTTGTTGAGGTGTTAGGTCTTTAGGAGAGAATGGATCAAAGTAGAATGACATGGAAAGCATATAAATCTATAGGGGAAGGAAGGCGAGGTAGGGTCGTCCTCGGAAAGGGTTGGAGAGAGGGGTAAAGGAGGTTTAGTGGGCAAGGGGCTTGGACTTCCAGCAAGCGTGCGTGGAAGCATGTTAGATAGGAGTGAATGGAGACGAATGGTACTTGGTTGGACCTGACGTCTGTTGGAGTGTGAGCAGGGTAAATATTTAGTGAATGGGATTCAGGGAACGATTATGATTCATATAGTCGCCCTTGATTCCTTGGAAATGGGAAGTACAATGCATCACTTTAAATGAGGAGTTTGGGATATTGGCAGTTTGGAGGGTATGTTGTGTATGTGTATGTGTATGCTTCTAAAAAACTGTTGTATTCTGACACCTCTCAAAAACAGTGATTATGTGTGAGTGTGGTGAAAAGTGTTGAATGAAGATGAAAAGCATTTTCTTTTGGGGATTTTTTTCTTTTTTGGGTCAACCTGGGGGCCCCCCCCTGCCTCGTGGAGACTG